ATAACCCCCCTTTAATTACCAGAAGGCCACAGTCAGGTCTTCATGGAGCTTTCTCTTCTCCAGGCTGAACAACCCCAACTCTCTTGGCCTGTCCTCATAGGAGAGGTGTTCCAGTGATACTCGTAAATCTAAAATCTCCACTTACTAGAGTGATTGTAATTAAACTAAGTACATCCTTGCTGTTTTGAGAAGACAGGAAAGCTCTAATATATAGGTTCCTAAATAACGCTACTTAGACAAGCCTAACTTGCTCTTTTGGGGGGGGATAAGAAGGCTCTAAGGTAGACTCCTAAATAATGTTATTTAGACAGCTCGGCCTTGGGAGGGCAGATGCGCCAAGCTACAGAGATCAAGAGGCACGAAGAGGGCAACAAGACCAAAGCACAACAACCTGGAAGGACATGGTACACTTGATCTTAGAACTGAGTTTGCGCAGAAACACAGGTCAACCAGTGGACACTGTGATGAAGAGTACAAGCCTTCATCTGAAGACCCCTGACGACCACTCGGGGACGCTAACAGACATGCGTGAAAGACATTAACATATGCTAATTACTTCTCTGAAAAGTCACGAATATGCTAAGCATTTCTCAGAGATATAATGCATATGTATATTGTGATTGTATTTAACCTGAAATGACAGGGTGTTTGGTGCACACGTTTGGAGGAGAGATCCCCATGTGCCTGGCGCCATAATAAAGAATACCTGCTTAATAGTCTGCCGACTATTGAGTCTTCAACTCCGGCTTTTCACGGCACCATTTCTGGCGACCCAGATGGGACCCACTCTGCCTGGCTACAGGACCGGCTGAGAACAGGACTCCCTCCCTAGGGTACCCCCGGGATCTCCCGGAGGGACTCCTCGCCTCAGTCGGATCACTGCAGGAGCAGACAAGGACCATCTAAACAAGTAAAGGTATTCTTTGAATCTTTTTTCTCTGTTTTGAAATCTGAGACCGGTCATTTTGAGAGTTCTTGTAAGTCATAGGAGACGTCCTACACTGAGCGCTGTATACCAGGCTACTAGTGCCTAAGGGTATACCGGTACATTGGTACAGGCATGGGTTAAGCTTTGTACTTCAGTAATAACGTAGTTTTGGTATTGCTATGCTTACACAACCCGCTCAAGTTGTACTTTTGGCAATATGGACTTGTTGGTATTGAACTTGGATATTGGATATCTCAGATATTGGCTGCTTAACTTACCTGTTAGGCACTGTAAAACCAACTACTCTGGCTTTTCGCAGCATCACCAGCCCTCTGATCATTTTTTTGGCCTTCCTCTGGTCCCGCTCCAACAGCTCCATGTCTTTCCTGTGCTGAGGGCTCCAGAGCTGGACACAGGACTCCAGGTGGGCTCTCACCAGAGCGGAGCAGAGGGGCAGAATCACCTCCCTTGACCTGCTAGCCATGCTGCTTTTGATGCAGCCCAGGACTCATTTGCCTTTCTGGGCTGCGAGCACACATTGTCAGCTCTTGTCCAGCTTTTCATCCCCCAGTACCCCAAGTCCTTCTCCTCAGGGCTGCTCTCAATCCCTTCATCCCCCAGTCTGTATTGTTACTGGGGATTGCCCCAACCTGGGTGCAGGACCTTGCACTTGGCCTTGTTGAACCTCATGAGGTTCGCACAGGCCCACCTCTGCAGCTTGTCCAGGTATCTTTGGATGACATCCTGTCCTTCTGGCGTGTCAACTGCACCACTTATTACATTCAGTTACATTAGCTTCCTGTCACTCAGGAGACAAAAGTGACCTACATTTATTCATCTGAAGACTGAAGTGGGGTCAAGAGAACACGGTTCCAGTTCCCGAGCTCTTAAACCCTAACCTCTAACCACTACCCCATTTTTTCCCTTTGGGATGCTATTGTTTAGCCCACTAACTCTGTAAACCTTTCATTCCGGAAACAAAAATTAGGATCCCGCTGTCCTTCCCATCACCTCCTGGTCTATCTCAGTGTGTAGTTCACAGATACTGCCATCTTTGTGTAGGTGGAAAATGATCACCCTGGCACCAGTAGAAGAGAGACCACCACCAAATCCTTCAGATACTTCCTCTCAGGAAGGAATAGGTAATGCTCTCTGTGTAGCTTGTTTTCCTCCTCTGATCAGAGTAGTGAGTTGTGCAGTACCTGGATAAGGAATTGCCATCCACAGGACCCACTGTCCACTCTGTCCTGCCACCTCAGCTCAGCAGCACACCAGCCCTCCCAGGAAGACCCCACCACGCAGACGCCTCCGCACAGCAGACCCTCAGCTTTACCCAACGCGCTGCCTGCGCCGGGTTAGGTTTGTTGGTGACGCAGTGCTGGAGAAGGCAGCACAGATACACGGCGGCTCTCCGAACTGGTCAGTCACACTAATTAATCTCGAGCGGCTGCGGATTGTAAACTCCTACCCCACAGCAGTTCCCCCAGAGCCTCGTTTCCTGTTGCTCAGGAGAAACAGTGGAAAATAAAATCCTCTCCCTTCGGATTCTTCTGCCCTTTCAGGTTTTCCAGCACGAGAGAGGGAAATCGGTTCCTCAGCAAGAGGAAGCCCTTTTCCCTGCGAAACTTTGTGCAACCCAGCGCCAACAGCATTCAGGCGTTTGCATTTCAGACCGCGCATTGCTCCGCGTACGGAACGACGTGGGGGCAAGGCGGGTGTGGGGCAGGAGCAGCGACGGGGAGAGGCCACCGACCGCCGACGCCCTGGAACCAGATCTGCTGGGAATCGTGCAAGACACAGGGAAGGCTATTTCTCTCTCAGGCGGAGGATTTATTTAAACCCCTCACTAAGTGTCAGATACACAAGCTTGCTAAGATAACGGCCCTTATCATCGCAGCAGCGCCATGATAAATCTTTTGTCTTCAGCTCCTAGTGGCTGAACACAGAGCCTTTTACAGCTGCTTTCTGAAAACAGAGAGGTCTGCACGGACAGTAAGACACCGGGGAGATGGGGCAGGCCGAGGCC